GGCCGGCGCGACGGCCACGGGCATCGGCGCAACGACCAGCGCGGCTGGCATAGAGGCAGGTGGAGCAGCAATCGCGACGGGCGCAGCTGTCGGCACGTTGACAACACTTGCCGCGTGGACTCGGTCACGGTTCTCCACATGGTAAGACGAGTGGCAGAAGGATGGGTGGACTGGGCTGGGCCTGCCGCGCTTAGGCCTGCGACTCTCCTGGTGACGCTCGTCGTCGTCGTCGTCGTCGTACTTGTTCGCAGCATGCCCCTTCCTGGACTCTTCCTCGACTTCCAGTGCTCTCTTCTTTCCCCTCTGGTTCTCAGTCACAGCTGCGTCCCGGTAGCCGCTTATGGCAAGTGGGGCTGAGACGTGGTCGGCGCGGCCCGAAGGTGCGTCGTATTGGAGGAGGTTGTTGCGAGACAAGGCGGCGCCTTGTCCGGCTGTATTCAATGCTTGTCGGTTCGACACGAACTGGCCAGCGGTGGATATCGCTGTACGAGCCCCTCGTCGAACATTATCGTCTCTGGATGCTTGGCTGCTATATTCGGCGACATGCGACGGCTGTTCAAGACTTGAGCGAGCTGTAGCTACGCAGGGAGCGTCAGTATTCATCCAAATCGAGCAGCAGATAAGCGGAACTCACCTCGGTTCTGCAGGAAAGTTGGCGGCGGGCTTATGACGCGATACTCACGGTGCTGGGGCGGCGGCGAGACAAGTCGGCGAACGGGCAGAAGTTGACCATGCGCGTCGTCGCTGTCATCGTCGCCGCTGTAGCCACTCTCGTCGCCGCTGTAGCCACTCTCGTCGCCGCTGTAGCCACTCTCGTCGCCGCTGTAGTCACTCTCGTCGCCGCTGTAGTCGTTCTCGTTGTCGCTGGACCGGCCATCTTCCTCAACGTCGGGCTCGGTAGCGTATCCATCGTGGTCGCTCGCGGCGCCGAATTGCTCGACATCCAGTCGGTCCCGTCTCGCTTCTCTGTCAGCGAGCAGGTCGCTCATGGCGACGAGCTTCCGCTGCGCGACGCCACGGAGGTCGGGGGGAGCGTCGGATGCGAGAGCGGTGGTTACTTTGAGCCAGCGGCGGAGCCACGCGATTTCTGTATTCAGGGTGTGTATTTCCGCTAGTCTGGACGTTGTGGCCGGCGAGGCGGAGGATGTGGCGCGGGTATTGTCCAAGAGCATCGTGGGCTGGTGTGCGATGCGGTTGGTTGTACGCGATGCGTCGATGTTGTAAGCGCGAAAAGGTACTGTTTGGGAGTTGTATCTACTTGTACGTGATTATTGTGCGAGTGGCGAAGGCGTAGGTGGTGGGACAGACAAGCGATGTGGCCTTATTGTTGGCTTCAGAGACGCGTTGCGAATGTGGCTTGGTGGTCTGAGCGATACGACGCGGTTTTCAGAACGTGAAGGCAACGTTTGAAGGCAATATCAACAGTGCGAAATGGGATGGAGAATGTGGTTTGGAACGAAGGAGGACAAGGCAGGCGCTGCAATTTATATCATCCGCGGGCGTCACCTGCGTCGATACGGCTTCGAAGTTTGCTTGCGCTTCTCGCGAGTGGCGAGGATTTTTTGTACGGCACACAGCTGCGGAGAGTGGCTCACTTTAGTTCCTTTGTTTCTTGAGTTTGAGGTGAGAGCCCCTGATGCGCATGAGCGCTGAATGTTCAATGGACGGATCACGAACTGGCCTGGGAAGTGTCCATCCTACGTCTCGGCCCTCGTTGAAACTCACTCAGGCTGCATCTGATAACGATTTCGCACAAGATTGTTCTATTCACGACTTCTTGATGCAGCTGGTAGCATAATCTACTTGAGAGCGCCACTAAAAAACCGGCCGACCTCACTGAACTTCTCTGCCGCCTCATGATCCGACTTTAGCGTGTCTTGCACGACGAGCACTCACCAGCCTTTCGTCCTCGTGACTATTTAACCAAAATCGCACGGGCAAAAATGTTCGAAGAGAGATTGGAACAGCGCCCCAAAATCGCATCAAGCAACGTCCGGACGACCGTGCTAAATACAACTGCAACGGCCACGAGAGCGATAACAGCCATAAGGAGGGTCAAAACCCATAAATTTCATCCTGTGATACACCCGCAGCCGAGCCCGGCGCGATTCGTCCGCTGCCTTCGAAAACATACAGTCGCGCCAAGATGGATCTACGTCCTGATGGCGTCATCAGCGTAAGGAGTAGCTCTGACTGTGTTGCGATGAAATGGAGTGCCACCAGACATGAGTCAGACATGCGTGCTTAGAGCAGCGAATGAGATGTCGAGAACTGGGAGGCTCAGAATGCCGAGGAGGTTGAAACCTCTGCTGCGATATGAAAGAACCGCCGGAGCTGTCTATGTTTCGGGGGAGATAATTACAATAAAATGCGAGCTGGTTAATGCGCAGACTTCGGCGGCGCGCACGATTGCAAGCTTGCTGATCAAGATAGCGTCCAGACGAGGCTGTCGCGATCCGGGGTCTAGGCCCCAGGTGATCACGTGATCTTAGGACCCCGATTGACCAGAAACGCCACGACGTTACTGCTCGCTTCTTCGTCCAAAACTCTCTCTGATTCTTTCCTTCCCACGACGGAGTGCTCGGCTACAGCATCCCCCTT